GCTTGGCCACAGGTGCTGGTGCATTTGGTGGCACAAGTGGTGGAGATGATGATAAGAAGGACCGCCATTGTATATCAGTGAAACAAAGGGAAGAAGAAACCCATTGGGTGTGGCAGAAAACCCTTCACATTGGTGAAGGCAGAGAGCCCTTCTCAATGGAGAAGAAGATGATGGATGCGGGAGAAGTAGTACTAGGAGCTGGCACATCAACGACATCAACAACGGAGATGAAGCACTGTTGCTCGAGAAACAGAAACGAATTTAGTGAGAAAGGGAGAAACCTAGTGGTGGAGCAGGAAAGGTTCTGGTCATGAAACGTGAGGCGAAACCCCCTACGGCAAAGTTGGAGGATGACGAAAGTGGAAGAGGATGGTGTGAACTTGAGAAGAAGTCGAAGGGTCAAAAGAAGCTCAGGAGAGTGAGGCGTACAAAAAGCTAGTGGCGCGGTGATCTTCTGACCAGGGAAGGGCAACATGTGAACAGTACGTGCCCAAGATCTACCGGAGAGAGGAGGCGCGTGACGGTGCGTTAGGACGAGACAGAGACGGCGACCACCAAGGTTAGGTCGCACTCGAAGAAACGATCCAGATCTGCTATTTACCGGTCAAAATTGCGATGGTGACCGACAGCGGACGGTAGCCGGCGACATACGGAGGCCGGCAGTGGAGAGCGGCGGTGCACAGCGGAGTAAGCAGCGAAGGCAGTGGCCTTTCTTGGGTTCTCTGAAGAAGAGACTTTCGGTCTCATTGATTCAACTGGCAGTCAATAAGAATGCCAAAAGGAGCCAAAATTGATTGGGCATCAACAGATCTAAAGCACAGCTACTGGTCCAAAAGTGAATGGGTTTGAATCCCATTCTAATCATACTCAAACAAACACTGTATTTGGTAATACTGGAAAAAAGGCCAGAATTCTAAGGCAGAACTTGACTAGGGCAATTGGAGCCCATTAAAAACACATGTTAAAGAAGATACTTTTAGGGGCTGCCGACGGACAGCAAAGACAGCGGAAGATTTATTATCTCAATCATTAAAAAATACATTCTGATACTCTCTATTTGTAATAATCTAATTCTTTTAAAAAGGGAAATAGGGAAAGTAGGAAAGTAAAATAAAATAAAAGATTATATATCTATTTCCTTAATTAGGAAGATTCTAAAAATATTATCTCAAATTACAACACAAAAGAATAGACATCAATGGTTATTGAACAATTCAATGATTTGTTAGTTGACTTAAAGAAATGAGAAAAGTGAAGCTTGGCCAATTCTTTGAGAGTCAACTATAGATTCATTGGCTAGGATTTTGTGATGAGACTTTTTAGGAAAGGAGAACGACTAAAATAGAAAGGTATTACTAGAAATATATCAAAAGAACTTGTGTCAATTTTCCATGAACATTGGCTTCCTACAAATTGTGAAATGCAAGTTGGTAATAATGGGAGGTGTAGATGATTGTGCTTGGCTACCAAATTTGAACTTGAAATATGTTTGATATTACTTATTAGAAAACTTTGGTTCCACAACCTTAGATTTGAAGACACTAGTTTTTACGTCAGGGAAGTCATGGAGTGAGTTGGAAGTTTCTTGGATATGACCTTTCTTTTACAATATTTACACTGAGGATATCTTCTACTACCGCGTCTTCCTCTAATTCCACAACTTCCAATTACCTATGCCAAAATCGTAGCTACAGATTTAGTGGATTCTTGAAAGTTTCTACCCTTAAGAGCTAGAACATGAAGAAGCCATGTTGTTATACTTTTCTTCTTTGGAACTTGTTGTACAGTTAAGATTTGATCCCTAATATGATTAAAATTCTAGTTCATCAAACCAAGGATCATAACCGTAAAAAATTTGTCTGGCTTCTTGATTTGTTCTAGGGAATCAATTTCTGAAAACACCTTAGTTTTTCAACAAGTTGATCATTAGTGATAAAGGATGTTGTTTCATGGTGTGCCTATTTAACTGATGTTATCATGTGGACAAGGTCATAGACATTAATAAGGTTCCTCTATGAGTTAACTTAAGTATTTAGAAACAAATTTATCTTAATAATTTTAATATCGATTTAAGAACCCAAAAGATGCCTTCCATTGAAAACGAATTTAAATCCCAAAGATTTATGTGTCAATGTTAATATCTTAGAGAAGATTATGATGAAGCACACGAAAAGGGGAACAAGTAACAAGGAACACAAAGAAGGAACAAGAAACAAGGAACACAAAGAAGTTATTGGTGGTACAAAGTTGAATACCGAAGAACGTGGGAATAAAATAAGGACTAGAAAAGAAAGATCAAGTGGAGAAGACTTAGGAGGATGGAAGAAGGAGACCGCCACTTGAAGATGAAGAGTTCTTCATGTTGATGATTAGCTCCATGGAGAATTGCTGCATGACTCCTAAGAGAAGAAGATAATATTCAAAACTCAAGATCACTCTTACCCAAGGGTCTCAAATGCTCACAAATTTCATATATCATCCGAAGTAAAAATACAGGAAGTAGTGTAGGCTATTTGTATCCTTATTTGTCCAAAAACTGTCCTACATGAGACCTAGACATGTCTCAAATCAATTGCTAATGTCCCTCCCAAAGGCTTCCAAAATTCAAATATAAAAGAGGGAAACTTTAAAATTTGAACTTAGAAATCCAAATCCAGGGTAACCTTCTTGTTGGTTGAAATTCCTTCATGGCTTCCATACCTTGATTCATGCATTCCCTGCCAACTTAAGGCATGTGTTCCTTGCCTTATTCTCCTTGTTTTGCCTAAGAATTAGAGCTTCCAAATTGGGCCTCTAATGTTGCTTGACTTTAAAACTCCATACCCTTTTGTACTTTAAATGCCCATTTATGTTTTTTACTATATAAACCTAATTTGAAAATATATTCTTATCACAAGTCGAAGAAATATGAAACAAGGAAAAAAAGAAACTATTTATGATTGCAAGAGCATTTTTGTTTGTCATGCTTCTATTAATTGTTCTTAAAATATGATCTTGCTCCTTTTCTTGTTCTTCATTTGTTAATTCATCAAATGCTAAATGTCATTTGCAAAGATACTTTCAACAATTTCCAAAACCTTGTGCAAGTTTTGAAAATTGAGGGTTCCCAATATATTGGGTTCCAAAGATTGCCACAATGGTAATGAACAAGATCAATAATAGGGGTGTCAAAGTGTTTACGTACCTGAGTACGTTAAACTAGCCAAATACAACCTTTCACACTCTCTCACACGTAATAGAACAATAAACGAATAAAAATGGATGAATGGATCTCTTTTATTGATGGTAATATCTGAAAACAAGGGTAAACAAAATTGGGAGATACCTTTTCAATACTTTTGAGAGGATAACCTCCCTCACAAGACAATCATGCTGTAAAAACTCAATAATCAAAAACATGTCTTTACCCTAGACTCTAACTTTAATTTTAATAATTATTCCCGCCCATCTCTTATTAATATTTCTCTAGAGTAGTATATCTGCAGTTAATTAGAAATATCCTTATATTGAATAGGAAGAATAAATATCCCTAGTATGAATATTAATAGAAAATATCCCTAGATTTGAATAGAATAGCAGATATTTAATATAAAGACGCGCCTTTTGTGGGAAGTATCATATCCTAGCATATATCCTTTAATATAAATATCTTATATTGATATTTCCATAAATATATTTTATTTACTCTAATAACTTATACGATATTTATTTACTTAATTACTTATACCATATTTATTTACTCTAATTTATACTTTACTAAATATTCTCTTGCTCATATACTTTTCAACCCTTATTATTATCCTACCTTATATCGTAACACAAAGTGAGCCAACCCAGTTCACACAGGTTGACTCAGCACAGGTTGAGCTAAAAATGAGTAAGCTCAAGCCGACTCTCTTTCTGGTGAGCCATAAATTTTTGTAACTCGGCTCGACCCACCACATGATGGTGGGTTAGTGGGTTGATTCACTTAAGAATGTTTTGTTTTTTCAATTTATTTTATATATTAATGATCGTACAATCAGAGCAGACTGTCTCGAGTCATTATATAACATTAGAATCAAAATGTTCGCCTATTTTACCTAATATTATCATCAAGATAGTAAATGAAAATTAAAGTTTCAAGCTACATAACTTGACAAACAAATAAATTAATCATTCAAACTATTCAATCATTATTGAACAACATTCTAGTATTTAAAATGATCCAAATGTCATATTAGATATAGAAGTAGTAAATAATTTAAATAAAAAAACTTGTAAGAAAATGGTGAATTTGTGAAAAAACTAAGAAGGGTTTTTTATTTGGGTTGTGATCAACTCACCTTCAATCGGCTAAACGTAATTTAACCTAGGAATTAAGTGAGCCGGGGGGGGGGGGGGGGTCCATTTGATCCACATTTAAACCATGTAAAACGTTTTCCAACCCAACCTGGTTTGAACTTGCGGTGAGCCGGGTTGGCTCAAAGGTTGAAACCCATTTTGATATCTCTAATTAATATCTAGTAAAGCGAAATATTTCTAAAGATATTTTCCTATCAAATGATATCATATCTCCCTATTTAATGTTATCTAATCATATCTCTAACAATATCTAATAATCAGAATAGTATGGCTACTTCCATAAGAGTGCCAAGAAAGTTGGATTTGGATTGAGCTTTCCTAGTATTGATATTGGATGAGAATTTTACCTCTATCTTTTACTTGAATTTTGGCATGATACTGGAATTCCCTTCTCCAGTCATCATATGGTAGCTATTGCAGTTTATTGGCATTAATTCAACTTTATTCTAACAAACTTTCCTTTGGCATGTTTTATGTAGTGTGCAGTTTTGTTCATTTTTCAACTTCCAGATGCATCTCCTTTCATATGCATGCAGCTAATTAACTTTACTCTTTAGATAATGCTCAATTATCCCCCTCACCTCGCATGAACAAGGGTTGTGGTTTTATTGTGTTCTTGATTTCCTGGCTAAGAAAAGGTTGTTTGTGTCACTCAGGCACGTATGGCATCTGCAACCACGCTAGTGATCATGATGGATGGTCTGTCTTCGATTTTCCTACAAGTAGCTGAATATAAGGAGTCTAACAAATTTGGATCTTTTATGGCACTTTCTAGCTCCCTTGGCAAGATTTTACTGGAACTTCATAGAGGTATCTATAACATTTGCAGTATCTTATTGAATATATTGTGGCTTACAGACATCTGTTTTATGCTTTTGATTTTTTTCTTGTCTCTTCATTATTTATTTACATATTTTACATAATTTTACACTTTTTGTCTCTTTTCTATTGATGTGTAGGTCTTCTTTACCTAATAGAGCATGAAGCTCATACTAAATTGCTGGCTTTGTTATTCAGGATTATCAAGCTTTTGATATCATCTACACCGTATGTTTCTTTGCTTCTCATATTATTCTATTTGTTCAATTTAAATATAATTGAAATGGTACGTTTTTCGTTGTTTTTCTTTTACTCATAAATATGTAAAATATTCTTTTGGTTTTGGTTATTGGTTCTCTTATACTTTCATGATCGGAGCCAAAAAAGATATTTTTAGATAATTGTAAAGGGGGACTTGAGATAGAATTATGGAAAAACTTAAGAGCTTGTTTCATCTCTTAGCTCATACATTCATATATAGGAGTTCCTCCATCTAATGTTTAGAAAAGCAATGATTAATCCTACTGTATAGAGCAGATAGGAAACTATGCATAAGTTAACTAGTTGCACAATTCTGACACATGCTTGAGCTTGAGTAAATAGATTGTATGTACGAAACTTGAAACATATAAACTGAATTCAAGGTCCTCTTCCGGACTTAATCGAAATCAATTTCTTCTACTATTAATTTTTGGTTTTGGTCCATTGGACCATGCACATGTCTACCATCAATCTTACCTATTTCTTGTAGGATGTCTAAGGCATATTTTTTGAGGATTTAAAATACATTCATTTCATTGAGCTATGTCAATACTTCAAAAGTAGTTAAGTAAGATCATTGGTTTGAAAGTGATTGCATAAATGCTTTTTTTAATGGGAAATTGTAATGACGTCATTACCTTTGATGATTATATTTTCAACATACACAATTTAGTATACAAATCAAATGATCAACTTCACTATGTTTTAGCCCAAAAGTTTGTACTATTTGGATGATTTCCAAACCAGGACACTTTATACACTAACCCACGGTCCCCTTGGACAAGAAACCTAAGAGGTTGCTTTGTGTAGATTTTCTTTTCTAGATCTCCATGAAGAAATACATTCTTGATATCCAACTGATGGAGAGCCAATGGCAAATAGTAGCGATGACAAAGAAAAGTCTAACTATGGGAATCTTGGTTACACTAAGGAAATGTCACCAAGTTGAGACCATATATCTACGTGTACCTTTTGGTAACTAGTCTTGCTTCATAGTGAGTCTGGATTTGACAATTTACTATTTGCAGAGACAAGTAAGCAAAGAAAGTGTGAAAAATGAAACAAATAATGGGTGATAGACTTTCTACCATGAAACAAGAAGATTGGCTATTAAAGTATATAAAATAATCATAAATCTTCCCTTTGCCAAACCAATTATATGTAAACAATAATAAAATGTTTATTAACATAATCAATTACATAAACTCTTAATCGATTATGTTAATAAATGTTTTGTTGTTAATTACTTTTTAAATTATAAATGAGTAACTTTTAATAATTATATTGGTGACACATTTTTATATGGATAAATAGTTGGTTTAGTAAAACAATTAGTGACATATTTTGTTTTAGTACAACAAAAAAAAAAAAAAATTTTACACCTGTACAAATTGTTTTTTTTTTTTTTTTTTTTTTTTTTTTTTTTTGTGAATTTGCTTGAACTCCATAAAATAATTTATGTTTGGTCTTTAGTAATTATCACGTGAGTTTATTAAAGGAAAAATTAACGTTAATATGCAATTATCCTTAAAGGAATCACTGAGGATTTTAAATTTACAAAGCAAAAAACCAAGGACAATAGTAGTGATACCAATTTTTTAGACGAGAATATGCTAGGAAGATACATTTGAGAGCTCTTGTAGATAACTAGTCTGTAGGGAACATGTCATGAATAAAACATATACACTACAAAGCATGGGGAGACACATGAAACAGGTTTATTAGAAAATAGGATAGAAAGGAAATGTTATTGTCAGAGGGAGGAAGAGAAAATCCTGTTTATGTGGAAGCAAGCCATAAGAATGTCACCTCGGTGGTGAATAGACACATCTGCATCAAGAAATAAGGTACAAAGTAGTCTAAACAAAGTGTCAATCTTTTTTCTTTGTTATACCATTTTGCTAAGGTGTATGAGAACATGTTGATTTTTGTAAAATGCCATGTGAACTTAAAATAGTAGAAAAGCTAAAAGAAAAATATTCTTTGGCATTATCACTCCTAAAAATGCTGATAACTGGGCTAAACTAATTTTTTGTTTAGTTAAGTAAGGCCTAGATAGACAATATTTTAGATCAATCTTTTTGTTAAAAAATCCCAAGTTCAACGAGAATATTCAACAATAAATGTGACAATATCGAAAGTAAAAATGGTTACTTGGCTTGGCCCCAATTTTCAAAATGAATTATGCACATGGGAAAGTTACATCTTGCAACAAGTCTCCATACAAAGGAAGATCTAACTTGTTTACTTAGTTGGCATGTTTCACACTATAACCTGGGGTTTTTTTGAGATTAGGTACCATTTTTTAAATTTTGGTAAGCTTAGATGACTTAAGTGACCATGCAAAATTTTGGAGGAGGCGATGCAAAAGAGGGCATAAAAGATTTGGTTTGAAGACAATAGAGTCCTTTAGTTTTTTTTGTCTCACCAATCAATTGACTTGTGCCCTTCTCCAACATATAACAAAAGAATTGGCATTAAAGATTAGTGAACAATTTAATCACATAGTTAGATGAGTTAGAGAAATGAGGTTAAAAGGACAAATGGGACAAGAAGAAAAAAATTGAGTCAAGGAAGAAGCAAAGGAGACTTGTCCAACTCCTTGGGAAGCAACTTTGGACCCATTGATTAAGTAATTGTTGTAATTAGAGGAAAATCTTCCTAATTAGAAAAAATATCTATAGAATCTTCTAGTTTATTTTTCGGTATATTTTTTCATTATCTCCTTTTCTTGAAAGATTAGATTGTTACAAATAAGTGCAAGGAGAATGTAAAATACCTTAATGATAATAATAAAAATCATTCTCTTTTCAAGATGGTATTAGAAATCTTGATATTGGGAGCTCCGTTTCAGTTGCAACAGTAGCAACTGTAGCCGCTGTTCGGCCATTGCGGCTGCCGTCATAGCCATTGGGGTCATTGATAAGGTAGAAAGATGTGTCCAACTCCGACGAACACAATGCCAAAAATCGTTCTTGGAAAGACGTCGACACGCGCCACCACCGTCGCTAGTGAGATCCACTCACTGTCGTCATCACAAAAAGGGTTGTCAGAGCCTCTTGAGTCCGTTTCACGGGTCGGTGACGTCCATTTGGCCCAAATTTGAGTAGATGAGTTTTGATTTCTGCTCCTTTTTCCTGGTGTAGCCCACATGTCGTCATCGTGTGGGATAGGGTCACCAGAGACACCTGATTGCATTCCATGGGATGTCTAATATAAAAGTTATTCCTTTGGGTCCTAATGATCTTCCAAATATGGTGGGTGCCTATCGGTTGGATGGTTAGAATTTCTTACAATGGAGCCTATACATTCGATGGATTCTCAAGGGATGTTCAAGACTAGATCACATAGATGGAGGAGGTGTAGGACTAGACGACACTAATTTTTCAATTTGGGACAATAAAGATTCACTAATTATGACTTTGATGTGACATTCCATGATTCCTTAGATAAGTCAAAATTATATGTTTCACTCTTTTGCCAAAGAGTTATGGGATGATTTACAAAGTACTTTTTTATTAAAAAAGGATTTTGCCGCATGCTATGACATTGAAAGCAAAATATTTAATACAAAATCAGGCTCGCTTTCTGTATCAGAATAACACGGAATCCTGAATGGACTTTGGATTGAATTGGATCAATACCAAACAATAACGTTGGAAGTCCTACATCAAGTAGAGATAGCGACAATTCATAGTATATAAGTGGGTGCAAACCTCACCTTACAAGCCAGTTTTATGGAGTTGAGTTAGGCTTAAAGTCCACTTCTTAAGAAATAAAGATGTGTAAAACATATACTGCCGCACATGTTGGAGCTATGGAAAGAGGAAGAATCTTTAAATTTCTCTGTGGCCTGAATCATGAGTACGACCCAATCTGGATACAATCATAGGAAGAGAAAAATTACCATCGCTATCAGAAGCATTTTTTATGGTAAGAGAACTGATAATTATTATACTACGCATGAATACTCAAAACAAAACAAAACCTAATGAAAATCATTATAGATAAATAAGCCACAACTTATAGAAACTGGTCCTCAATCTATGAGCAATTACGAATGTAATAATCTAGTAAAAAATGTTAGATTTTGTTAAAATTAACAGAAAAGAAGACATTAAATAAAAATATTAGAAGAATATGAATTAGAAAGTATAAAGGAAGGAAAGGAACAGAATCCGAGGAAGAAGATTGATGCCCAACTTTGTAGCATCTTCAAATTCATTCTTATGGCTTGTTTGATAGGAGGAGTGGAAACAAAGGCAACAAATTCAATTGGATTTGTTTTCTAGGAAAAAAATGGGAAGGGGGAATGAAGTAGTTAATGGGTCTGACTACTACTTTTCTACAATATTTCTCCCTTATTTCTTCTAATCTCTCTATGTTTCACCTCATCTCTATTGAAACTTAAGAGAAATGCAATCCTTTCTTAGTGAAAATACAAAATTCCGAAAAACCTATCATTGTTGGGTATCAGAGAGGGTCAATCTCACTTTGTCAATGCCAGATCAGTTCACCAGTGACTGCCATAGTCTACCTTGTTCTTTCCATTGAGCACCTAGTTGTCTTATCAAGTGATGCAAAACCCTATAGTCACCATCATCATCTGCCATCGAATGACATGTAGACCCCAATAGATTTTTCGATACTGATATGAAGTAGCCGTCAAAGCAATAAATGAAACCACTGGTCATGCCAGCACAACATCTTTGTGCCACCAACCTAGGTGGGTGCAGTCCATGCACCAAAATGATAACATGTTGCCTCTATCGATCTCATCGGCCTCTCTTCTCCTAATTCCAACCTCCTTTTCTGCCTTTCCCACTGATTGGAGTTTGAATTCAAACACATTAAAAGTTCCACTTTTACTCATGTTCTCTCTGTTGTACATTGGTTCTCTCTATTTTTTGTTTGCAGTTATATCTGGACCTGTTCACTCAATTTCTAGGCCACCCACAACTACTTCAAAGAACCTCAATGGGAAAAATTATTTGTCTTGGTCTGCTTGGGTTGAACTGTAGTTTCCTATTATTATGGTGAATCTTCTGTCACAAGAATTATTTGCCTTTACTCAACTTCTAGGTCACCCAAAACTATTGAATCATCTGTCACAGTATCTACTAGCTAAGAGGAGCTAGTGGAAATAGAGTACAAAATGGTTGCAAATGTCCTCAATGCACTTTTTGTAAGAGGAGGGATTACGCTAAAGAAAACTACTTCTATATACATGGCTTCACAGATAAGACAGCCAATGTCTCCAAACTTGAAAGGGTAAAACCACAGTTTTCGAGTGAATGCCAGGAATATTTGTGATTACAGCCCAGCAATCAGGCACAAGCTTCCAACCAATGTGGTTTGTCAAAACCTTGCATCTCCTAAAGCAAGGTAGGTCAAAGCCCATGGATAATTGATTCCTATACTTTAGATCATATTTCTAGTAAAACCTTCTGATTCCATCTCTTCTCCTAGAGTTGGCTTCAACGTGATTCTATTTAAGATTAATAACTACGGTTTATAGTGTGCATAAAACACAGTCATTCTTGTCCTAAGTTGTAGTGTAAAGTTGAGAAAATGTTGGAAGAAATTTATAACGAGGATACATTTTTTTATAGCTGCTTTTGGTGCTATTTTTTAATTAGACTATTTTCTCGTTGAAAGAAACATTTTCATTATATTTGATAAAATTACTAATTAGGAACCACACAAATTCTTTATATAAAAATAATAGTTTAATCTAGTATAATCTCTTTGCTCAGAAGTAACCAGAGCAAACATTAAATTATTCATATGTGGACATGGTTCTCTCACACTAACAAATCCTTTTATTTCTCCACAAAATCCTTTCAAAGCCATTCTTAGAAAATCACCTACTTTCTCAAGTATTTTTAAAATTGTATTATTTTTGTATAATAGAAATGGGGATACATATGCGTGTGAGTATTTGTGTTTCTTGTAGATAGAATAAAACAATTAATTCAAGATAATGATATTTATCAATTGGACTGTAGGCTAAATATTTAATTGCGTAAATTGCACTAACACCATTTATGCTTCTTGATTCTTTAATGCAGATTAGGTGTTTTATTTCCTTCTCTGCTTCCTAATGTAAAATAAGTATGTCTACTGAAATCATTGTTTTGACAGATATTCAAGAATGCCACCAAATTTGTTGCCACTTGTTGTTACATCTATTAGGACAAGGATTGAAGAAGGATTTTGGTTGAAAAGTGAACGAAGTGGTCTGCTGGTTAGTTGTCCGATTAATTGTCCAAAGTTTATTTTGTCCTTCCCTAACATTGACTTTTGTTGGCAGGCTGCTGCTATTGGTTGCTTGACGTTAGCTTTGTCTACCTCGCCATCTTCTGCTCAAATAAGGAATCTGCTCTGTGACGAGGTTTCTTCAGGTGACTTCTGCTATTATTGATAATGAAAGCACACCTATAAGTTATTACTTAAAATTAATGAAAGTCTAAAACTTTAACATCTATTTTTTCATAATTCATGGTTCTAAACTCTGATTTTATTTTATCTGCGTTCACTCAATAGTACTAACAAATATTTAATTCCAAAATCTCAAAATGAAAAAAATAATAATACAATGGTAATAATAAAATTATTGTTATTATTATTTGTATTTATTTAGTTATTTTCTTGATGACCTAAAGCTATCTTTTTAGCTGAATAGGCTTTCAAATAGGCCCTCGCCAGAGAAACTTAGTAAGTTGGCCCTGTAACTTTTTTTTCTTCTGTCTGATGTACTTGTCTGAATCGCTTCACTAATGAGAACAAAAACAATTATGATAAGTCTTTATCTAATTCCCTTGGGATTGCTTCTTGTCCATTTAGATTAAGTTAAAACGTGAATGCATCCTG